ATTCGGCCCCCCTCCACGCACTGGTCTTTTACACGCAGGATTCCCAGGATACCGTTCTTTTTTGGGAGAGGGAGGGATAACAAATTCTGCTCTCGCTGAAGCGCTGGCCTCATTTTCGGGCTACCGCTCGTTCCGAATCGTGCTCCCGCTGCAGCGCTGGCCTCATTTCCGCGCTTCCGCTCGTTCCGAATCGTGCTCCCGCTGCAGCGCTGGCGTGATTTTTTCCAGCGCCATTCCGCGGCATGGTTTTCGGTCCTTCCAAATCGGCCCCAAAATTTAGAAGATGCTCCCCCGAAAAATCCATCTGAAGTGATTACACATCCGGTGTCGGTTCGTTAATTTTTTGGGGGCGTCGCCACGTGTCAGGCTACGCGTCCTCCGAATCGTGCTCCTGCTGCAGCGCTGGCCTCATTTCCTTGCGTCCGCTCGTTCCGAATCATGCTCCCGCTGCAGCGCTGGCGTCATTATTTCCAGCGCCATGCCGCGGCATGGTTTGCGGTCCTTCCAAATAGACCCCAAAATCTAGAAAATGCCTTCCCGCAACAACCATCGGAAGCGATTCCACATTCGGTGTCGATTCGTCGATTTTTTGGGGCCGTGGAAGCCCCCCCCACTTTGGGGCGTCGCCACGCCATGCTATGTCAGGCTGCGCCTTGATCTTCAAAACCATGCTATGCCATGCAATGCTATACCCTGCTGCGACATCCGACTGTGCGAATAGAAAACATCAATCGACGCCATGGTAAGGGGTGGGAGGGAGGGGTAGGACGTCAGATATGACGCGAGCGCACCTAGCTTGTCCCCCTCCCCCTCCTCCACCTCCTCCCCCCCTCCTCCGCCTCCTCCCCCTAAACCTCCTATCCAGTACTCACCATAACCAGCGCATCTCGAAGAGCATCAGGACGTGCTGTGCTCGTGTCGTTCTCGATCTCGGTCTCTGGGAGCCGCTCTCAGGCTCCGGGGCAATCGCATACCCAGAGCGCCCCAGGGCGAAACGCGGGTCCCTGGGAACGGGTCGGGCGGTCCATGGGGCCGCGTGGAAGGCACCGCGACGTCGGAGGTCTGGGCCCAGGGAGACCGGGAGCGCTCGCGGGTGGGGGCCCCAGGCATCTGCCAGAGAAGCCCAACGGAGAAGCAGCGTGCGCAGCGCCCTCCTGGGGCCACAGGGCTGCCAGGCGAGAGCACGTCGGCGAGAGGCACGCCCCGCCGGTTCTGGCCCACCACGCTTCGGCGCGACGCGCTGTCCATATCGCGCTCCCCGGGCGTCCACGCCCTGGGCTTTCCCAGCCTCCCGCCCCGCGGAGCACAGCGGCACGCTATCCACTCGTCAGACGTAGCGTGTCGCCTGGGCCACCGCCGCGACACGCTGTCCAGAAGTTCCTTGCACTGTTCCCCCGCGGACAGCTGACTTACGTTTGCAGCAAAGTGCTGGAAGTAGTGGCAACCAGTGCTTTGCTCGGACCAGGCCCCACGAGCATTCCTGTCAGGGCGTTGCGACGGGAAAGTGCCGCCGAGGAGGGCCTCTGGGGGACTGCTGCGGAAGCTACTCGCAGGCGCCCTCTGCCACAACGCCCCCGCGATCGCGCCGTGCGCCCCAGAGGAGGTGACCATCGGCCAGGGTATCGTCAGCAAAGTGATCGAAATGATCGACGGAGGGCTCTCCAAGGAGCCCCTCGGATGGGGAGGGCCTCGCGAGCGGAGCCGCAGCGGCCGAGATCCAGCTCGCTCTCGCCGCGCGGCGGCGAGCCCGCCGCGGGGGAAACGTTGAGGGAGCAGGCCCTCTCGGAGCGCGGCGTGGCTTCCAGGAGGCCCTCGCGCCTTCTGAGCAGCCCTGCGAGCCCGCTCCGAAGCCGCAGCCGGCCTCCCCAGGAGGGGCGAGGGCCTCCGAGAAGCCACGCCGCCCACCGAGAGGGCCCGCTCCCTCGCACTGCCCCCGCGACGGGCCTCGCCGCCGAGCCACGGTGGGGGCGCGCAGGGTCTGACGAGCCACCTGGCCTCTTGGCGTTGACGCCCGTGGCAGCTTGCCCCCCGCCCCCCCCCCCCCGACGGTGCTCTGCAGGATCGCCCTCTCTGCTAGAAGGAGGAGGAGGAGGAGGAGGAGGAGGAGGAGGAGGAGGAGGAGGAGGAGGAGGAAGAGGAGGAGGAGGAGGAGGAGGAGGAGGAGGAGGAGGAGGAGGAGGAGGAGGAGGAGGAGGAGGAGGAGGAGGGGATTACGGGACCACAGTCGAGCATCTGATCAAGAGGTCTCGTCCCGAGAAGCTGGGCCAGCGGAGAGCTCAGCGAGTTTCTCTTCTGTACTGTCAGAGTGGAACCGCCCATTGTGGTTTGCATGGCCTCTGGCATCTCTCACGTGCATCCGCTTCTGCGGCCTTTCTCTCTCATGCGTCAGCCTTCGTCCTGACCCCCATCTGCAAGGCCAGGTGGTACTTGAACTAGGCGTGGTCCTTCCTAGTATACGCTGCGGTGACACCCACCCGACCGCTGGAAGAAAAAGTAGGCATGCGCCCGCATTGTGGTCTCGAAAATGTCAAGGTTGACCCCCGCGTCTGCGCGCTGTGAAGAGATCACGACGGGAGGTTTTTTGGCAACTCGAAAGTCGATCTGGGGGGCTCGCCAGGCCCCAGGACTGCCACAGACGACTCGGGATGAAAAGCTGGCTCCAGGGAAGGGGTCCAGACCTCTGGAGGTCCACGTTGTGGAAACATCGTGGCGTCGTAGCAGCGTGTTTCTGTATTGCTTGGGGCATAGTGGGCATTATAGTCCCCAGCCCCCATCCCTCCCCCCTATAACGTAACGCCCCTCCCCCCCAGTGCGCTCCGGGGGGCACTGCCGCCGTGCGCACGGCGAAAGGGGCAGGCGTTACACTGTACCCCCCCCTGGCCCTTCGCCCCCTCCCCCCTACAGTGCCCATTATCGCCGAAAGTAGAGAAACGTGCTCGTAGTTCTGGGGGATGCGTCGGTCTTGTGTCAAGGAGGGCTTCCCGATGCAGCCTCGGGCTGCAGTGGCGTCTGGTCTTCGGCCTGCCCTCGGCCGCAGGGCCGAGCTTCGGCGAGGGGGATCTGCTGATCCATGCCACGGGCCGCCGACCCCGCACAACTTCTCGCACTCCTCCTCTGAGCGTCGGGAGGAAGGTCCTTTGCAGAGCGCCTACTAATGTACAGGGCCGCCGCAGGTCCGAGTCCACGTATACATCTTCGTAGGACATTTGTGATTGAGCAGGGGGAAGCGGGGAAGAAAGGGGAAGGACATGCGTCAGGCGATCGCAAACATGGATCAATGGGGCGTGGATTAGCGACGGGTCCCGTTTCCAGGGCAAATCGCGGATTTCCGGCGCCGAGCGAGGAGGCGGCACCGGCCGCACTTTGGGGAGGGCACCTCCCCCGATCCATGCTTTGCGCGCCCCCGATCCTCTGCTGTTGCTGCCGCTCCTCGGTCTCCAGGTCGGCATGGTCCGGCTGACATTTTGGGCGCGATGCGTGGCCGCACACCTATTCTGATGCGCGTCTCAGGTTTGGGAATGTTTTGAATGCGGGTGCTGGAAGCATGGGGCCGCCCAGAGGGCTTCTCTCAGAGCCCCTCCTGAGGCGGCCCATGGCGGTCCTGCTTGGGTTCTCCTCGTCTTTGACGCGTGCGCCTATGCAGCGCCCCTTCAGGACGGCACGTCGGCAAACACGCTGACCTTCATAAACGTGTGGGAGGCCATCTTGCAGGAACGGGTGCGGGTTGCTCCCACTGCAGCCGCCGCCGCTGGTGCTGGTACTCCCGCTCTCGATGCTGCTGCATGTGCCGTTTTGCTGATGTGAGATGGCGCCTTGACTCAAGAGGCTCGCTTGGTGTGCATGCTGAGATGATGGTGCATCCGAGCCGCTGGAGATTTTGAGTTCGGGGCGCATGATGTAGTTTTGCAAGATCATGTCCATGTTTGCCAGCGTGGACCAACAGCATGGTTTTGTCATTCTGTTTGTGGAAGGTATGGGGTGGGAGCTATGTGGTGGAGGCTATGTGGTGAAAATGACTACCCTGCACCGCGCCTGACCACCTCCACTGCTCGCGCAAACATCCCACCCACGCGCCCGCAACTTGGTCGCAAGACTTCTTCAGACAAGACTGTGACGGTAGGTACCACATGGCACTTGGCCACGACACCGACGCCGACGACGACAGCGACAACGACGACGACGGCGCCGCCGACACCGACTACGACGACACCGCCGACGTCGACGTCGACGAAGACGACGACGACGCCGACGCCGACGACGACGACGAAGACGACGACGACGTCGCCAACGAAGACGACGACGAGGGAGGAGGGAGGACGACGACGGCGACAACGACGACAACGACGATGGATGAGGGAAGACGGCGACGACGCGAACGACGAAGAAGGAGGAAGGACGGCGACGCCGACGACGACAACGACGAGGGAGGAGGGAAGACGACGACGACGACAACGACGACGAAGACGACGACGACGGCGACGAAATAGGAGGGACGACGACGATACGCCGACGACGGACGACGACGACGACGAGGGAGGTGGATAACGACGAGGGAGGAGTGCAGACGACGACGACGACGATGACGGCGACGAAATAGGAAGGACAACGACGAAACGCCGACGAAGACGACGAGGGAGGAAAGACGACCACGGCGACAACGACGACGGAAGCGACGACGACGCCAAGACGACGACGACGACGAGGACAGACAGAAAACGACGACGGCGACGACGACGACGACGAGGGAAGAGGGAGGACGATGACGACGACGACGCAAGAGCGCGCGCGCACGCTTTTGTTGAAAATCCGTGTTGCGAAACCTTGTGTTTTTGTAGGTTTTTTGGAGACAAGATTTTGACATCCTTCCGAAACCTATGGGTTTTGAAGGTTTTCGGCATACGCGCGCGACGACGCGCGCGTCTGCACTTCGTCTGATTTTTTGCAGAGGATTTTCGCGACGGCACACGCGCAAGGGCGTTCGACAGATTTCGACATGCGCGCGCGACGCCCGTTTAATAGCATGTTGTGTGAATCTTGAAAAACCAATGGTTTTCTCAAGATTCGCAAGAGCTCGCGCGGAAGCTTTTTTAGCAACTCAGTGTTGCGAAACCCTGTGTTTTTATATGTTTTTGGAAACTCGATTGCGAAATCCTTGCGGCACCGAGGGTTTTTGAAGGATTTCGGCATGCGCGCGCGACGGCGCGCGCGTGTGCACTCCGTCCCATTATTTGCAAGGGATTAGCCAAACAGTTTTATGTTAGAACAACAGATGTCACCGCATAGTGTTTTTTACAAGGGAACCTCAGGGGGGGTTACTGGCCCCCCTGGGATAGATGAAATTCCTATATCGGATGGACATGTGGTCCTAATCATATATGATTTACATATCCGAAAGGGGTGCCCATAACGCCGGGGGGGGGTAGATTCTATTCTGTTTTTAGAGAGGAGAATCTATGTGGTAGAAGCTACGTGGTGTAAGCTATGTCGTGGAACATCTTGATGGAAGCTACGTGGTGAAAGCTATGTGACAACGCTTTGCGCCCACACAACTGCTGACCGAAAGCTGCTAAGAACCCCTCATTGCAAGCACTGTTTGGGGAATCAATGCCCACGGGAGCTGCTCTCAGATGCAGAGAGTTCGCCATGCAGGCGCAACAGCATGCTGGGGTCATGCACATCTCGTCGCCCCCCCGCCGCCCTCTGCGAGGACGGCAGGTACGAGAACCACGACTTCACGGTCAAGGTCGACCCCGACACGGTGATGCTGCCCTCCAGACTCCGGACGGCGCCGCGGGTGCGAAACGCTCGACAGGAGGCAACTCGTTGCGAAACAGATTATGACGGCGGGTTTTCGGCTCTTTTCGGCCTCCTGGGCTCGGGACCGTTAAACAGTGTCTCAAGATGAAGAGCCGGTCCTGGGGAAGTGGTCCAAATCTCCAGGGTAGCACGCTATGAACAAATCACGACGCCAGAGGTCTGAGCAGGAGGAGGACGAGGTGCGCGGTCGGGAAGCGCTGTGATGTCGGCGGGCCAGGCTTCTGGAGCACATGTGTTCGGCCCCTCTTGGGCCACCCCAGAGGCCCTCGGGAGATCTCCAGAGGGCCGAAAGGGCTCCAGACAGGTGTGGCAAGCCGTTTCGATTACGCCAGTGGCATCAGTCCTCACGTCATCGCCATTGTGGTCGTGGTGTATGTTTTTAAGACAGGTCTCGCAGGCCCCAGACACTTTCAGAGACCCCCGACGTCGTGATTTGCTCGCAACCTCGACCCCCAGAGGTCTGGACCCCTTCACCGGGACCGCTTTGTCGTCCTGAGTCGTTTTTTGACGCTCCCGAGGCCCGGGAAGGCCCCCCCGGAGGCCGAACACAGCGCAAAACTTTCCGTCGTGATCCTTTTCCTCACAGCGCGGGGGGAAGTCTGGGTTCAGAGGCCCTGGCGGAGCAGAAGAGCTCAGGTGGGGCACGGCCGGCCTCAGCAGCTCGTGGCCCCCTGCAGCCTGGCGTCAGGCCTGCGCCCGCCGGAGGGCCAGCAAGCTGCGCGGGGAGCGCTCGGCGGTGGAGCAGCGGCGACAGCGACGGGACGATGGACAGGACGACGAAGACGGGGTTACGGCCTCGCTTATGATTCAGAATCCTCGCCCCGAAAAGCTGGCCCAGCGTTTCTTTACCAACTTGCGGAAAGCTGGCTCAGTTTCTTAAGGGGATTGATGGCCTTGCATCCTAGAAATATGGATAGCGTGCGTTCCTGGCTCCAGAAGCTGGCCCAGCGTTTCCTTAATAAACTTCTGAGAAGCTGGCCCAGCTCTCTTAATTTACAATTTTCTGAATCGTATTTTTGATTGTAGATCTCTCAGTTTTTCAATCTGGGCGTTTCGGCCTCTGGGGCCTGTGATTGCGTCCTGGCGCCACCAAACGTGGATCTGGGGCGAACAGCCGGCCTGGGGAAGGGGTGCGGACGTCTAGGGGCGCGGATTGAGCCAACTGTCCAGGCGAAGGACCCCCGTGGGGCCACGAAGCGTGTGAGGGTGTGCCGACATGGGTGCGGGGCCGCCATGCGGACCCTGCCGCTGGGGCCTTTGGTGGAGCCCCGTATCGGGCCACGAAGCGTGTGAGGGTGTGCCAACATTGGTGCGGGGCCACCATGCGGATCCTGCCGCTGGGGCCTTCGGTGGAGCTCCCTATGGGGCCACGAACTGTGTGAGGGGTGTACCGACATGGGTGCGGGGCCACCCTGCGGACGCTGCCGTAGGGGCCTTTGGTTGAGCCCCCTGTGGAATCACGAAACGTGTGATGGTGTGCCGAAATGGGTTCGGGATCGCAATGCTGCCCATGCTGTTGGGGCCTTCGGAGAAGCTTTCTATGGAGCCATCCAACGTGTAATGGGGTGCGACATGATGATGTTGATGATGATGCTGCTGATGATTATGGTGATGACGATGACGATGATGCTGATGATGATGATGATGCTGATGCTGATGCTGATGCTGATGCTAACGATGATT